TTTTTTCCTGAGTTTATCTATAGATTATATTTTCTCTCTGGCTGTATAGCTGACACACATTCTATGACGTCTAGTAGCCCAGTAGACACCTCCTTTCAATATGGCAGCAATTTCACAGTTGTGAAAAGGCCTGGCTAATCTTTCATTAAGCCTGTTAGACTCTGCTCTCCAGCCAAAACCCAAGTGTGGGTGACAACTTTCTTCCTGCCTGAAGTTCCTCCTGTGTCTGTCGTGGTTTACCACATCACTCTGCAATTCCAGACATGTCACCTGCCTGTATTCTTAGGACATATTTCTGTCTCTGTGTGCATCTACCTGCATGTACAGGAGTTAGGAGAAGCTGGTGAGCAGCCAGTCCCACCCTCCTCTTGTACACCAGCTGCACCAGTGACGGCAGGACCTGCGTGAGTGCACGTGCTGCTGGCAGGACCCTAGAGACAAGGCTTCCTTGATGCACCCATCCTGCCTCCCCATGCCCTCTGCCAAGGCCACTGCCTGTGTCAGCTGCAATGTTCAAACTTGGTGCCCACCACCTTGCTGTTTACTGGAGATCATAGATGTGGGGAGTCAACAGCAGCTGAATTTGAACGTCAAAGCTGGTGCAATGAAGAGGCTGCTGATAAACCGAAGAAACACACCAGTGTTCTCCAGTAATTAGAACTAGTGAGGCTGGTAAACTGAGATCTGCATCCCCTCTGGATTTCTTGAGCTGCTGGTTGCAAGAAAGCAACCTGTTGTTTTGATTTTACATGTCAGAGACTCAAATCTATGAACAAAATGCAGCCATTCAGTTGCAAGGAGGTGGAAATACAGTCTAAGATAAAAATGACTGAAATAGTCATTGAGCCATGGGCATTGTCAGCTGCCTACGTGCTGTCCACACAGTGGTGTAATGGGTAAGAAGTTTAAGAAAGTCTTACAGCAAAAGGCTGCAGGAAATCAGTCTATTCAGTTTATCAAAAGAAAGGGGAAGTATGTAGTAGGGAACTGGTCAGAGAAGGAGATTCAGTCACACAAAGCTACTGCAAGAAGCTGTCTGTTGCAATAAGCAAAAACTAAATGCCTGCAGAACTAGGAACGAAGCACACATCTTTCACAGCAAGAAGGATTCACCAGTGAAAGAAATGACTCAAGCACCAGGGTGAATCATATATTTTGGTAAATCACAAGTAGATGTTTTCACAGAAGATAATGCCTTAGGTCAAACACCTCTGTAATGAAGAGGCAAATTCTTCAGGGAAATCCAAAGACCTGTGTTACGCTGAGATCAGTTTAAGCAGTCATAGCCACATCTTCTGGCCATAAAAGCCCATGACTCAGTTAGCTTCTAAACTTACCAGCCATGTCTGATTGCACAATATTTATTCCTGTTTATAGTACAAATAAAGCAAACTAAGGACTTTGTGCTAATATCTCAGTGTGTACAGTTTCTTCCTAGATACCATGATGATAGTATCTAGATACCATGGTATCTAGATGATAACAGGATGAGGGGGAATGGCCTCAAGTTGCACCAGGGAAGATTTCAATTAGATATTAGTAAGAATTTCTTCACTGAGAGAGTGGTTAGACACCAGAATGGACAGCCCAGGGAGGTGGTGGAGTCATCATCCCTAGAGGTGTTAAAAAAACAAGTGTCTGTGGCACTTGAGGCTATGGTCTAGTGGTTAGGAGAATGCTGGGAGGAAGGTTGGACTTGATGATCCTGGAGGTCCTTTCCAATCATGGTGATTCTATGATTCTACCAAGTACCTGGTACTGTGGCAGGAAAGGGCAGTTGCTGATTAAAACTTGAGAACTAGAAACAGATATTCTGGGGCCTATTCCATGTTTTGCCCTGCATAAAACAGTGCAAATAATTCTGAAAGGCAAAGTCTGAATGTGCTGTCTGCTCTCTAGAAGGCTAAAATTAACATGTTGCAAGTAAACAGCACCTCAAATCAGAGTTGATCTGCTGGATTTCATTGCTCTTTTTTCATCCTCCCATCTGTAAAATGGGGATTGACTAGGGGGGAAAAAAAAAGAGAGGGGGGGAGGGGAGGAGGTAACTTACTTCATGTGGGATGACTATGAAGTGTGTACACTTTGCTTCCAGAACAGTAAGAATCACGGTATTACTGCAAGGGATGTTTGCAGGTTGGGAAAGGGAATGTCCCCAAAGGACTTTACAAGGGTAAACTAACCCTGCAGAAAGAGGAAAGGACAGGAGGTCAGTGATGAGAGCTGGGCAGGCTGCAGAGGACTAAATCTTCACTGTCATCCATGACCCCAAAGTGTCAGAGACTTCAGCAGGGAAATAACCTGCCCTGCCCCTCGTTGATGGTCTCTCTCTCCACCTCAAGGCCTCATTTTCTCCTTAAGGAGAGATGTTTTTGAATCTGATTGGGAAGAAAACATTAGACTCTCTCCTCCATTTATGATAGTCCTTTAGGACAACCCATCTTAGTTTATTTCTCATTAGCACAAATGGTGCTTTACAGCTGGAGTGTCCTTTCCTGTGATCAAACACCAAGAGGAAGGGCTGAGATGCCAAAGCCTCCTGAGTTACTGCCAGGACCTTCTGCAGGGGACATCTCCCAGTTCAATGTTCCAGCTGATTGAGAATCACTTCAATTGGAAAAGACAGCAAGGAAACTTGAGTTGAAGAGACAGGCTAATTTCCCTTGCATCGGCCATCAGCAACAGCCATCTAGCCAAGACACATGCTATTGGCTGTCAAACCCTGTTAGACATGGGACAATGGACATCAAACAGAAATATCTACCACAAAGCTGAGTGAATGATCCTCTTCAAAGAGAGGTGATCCCTACCTTTCCACCTAGGAGTTATCCTACAACTGGATACCGTGCCAGGACTTAAGAGATATCTTGGCAAGTCATGGCTAAAAATGTAGGAGAGGAACCCATGGCCCATGAACAAGAAGATGACTTTCTGATGAATGGTGAGTGGTTGAAAAGGGACCAGGAAGTAGGAAAGCAACATGTGAACCCCTGGAAAAATAGGCACTTTACTATTTGCATGTATTTGCTTCCTTTCTGGTGCTAGCATTACTTTTCACTTCCTTACCTCTTTCCACAGCCTCTCCTGGAGTTGAATCAGACTGCCAAGAACAGCCTTCAAAGCTGCACAGTCAATTCTCCAAACCTCCCATCAACCATACTTGTATCCCAGGTACATAGGCTAGAGCAGATGGAACAGATGCAAGAGGACAGCCATCAGTCTCCCTGATGGCTGTCCTCTTACAGATACACAGATCTTTATCATATGAAGGCTGAGGCCAGAGGATACTCACTGCACACAGGGGAAAGACAAGACTTAGAGCTGGCATGTTTGCTATCTTGCATCAGCTTGTTGCATTCTTTGCATTTAAGTTTTGCCTTTTTTTTTTGGTGGCTCACATGTTATGGTTTCTGACCCCCTGGTCCTATTCCAGTGTCTCTACTCAATTGCATGCTTTGGGTCTTACAGTCACCACTTCTCATGGGGTGCAGTCAAATGAAGATGCACAAGCCTTAAATGTACTTCCTCAATAACAGGAAGTGGTCTTACCTTCCACATTTTTGCTGAAACTCTTTATTTCGGGGGAGAAAAAAAGGAATCTGTCTGCTGTAAGGGATCTAAAAGCAGTTACCACACATGTGTTTCATAAAAAGCAGAAAGGACACATATATGAGTCGTAGTCTTTTCCAAATCACACATGAAGGATAGAAATAACTATATTTCTCAAAGTGCCAGAGCTTTATGTCACTAAACAGCACATTGTGCTTATTCTTAGAAAGTTTTTTGAGACATAAGGCAGTAGATACTGAGTTAAGAAATAAAAGATAGATGCTCTTGTTCAGTTTCATTTTATTAGCACAAGAAGCTTTCTTATCTATTGAGAAAATATTGCAGGCTGGCAAAACTGGTACAAGGAACAAATTCTGGGATAAACAAATCAAAATTGTTATTAACAAAACTATGACTCATAAATTT